ATCGATATTTTCTTTTCCCTTCTTGTTCAAAACGAATTACGAAGATTCTTAAATAAATAATCGTCTCTCGAAATACGTGATCGCAGGTCTCGACGTTGCCGTCTCGTTCGCCTCGCGTTAATTTCTCATTCCGTCCGATTTTTTATTTTTCTCAATTTTCTTAAAAAACGTTTTCTCTTCACTTTGTTCTCTTAGCTCGCTCTCACCTAAAAATCCTCTACCGAAACGTATTGTAGACTTAACGCGCTACGTGTACTACGAGATTATCACACGGAAAGTTGGCTCACTCGGTGTCAACAATCAAGTAATTTTTCTCTCCTCCCTTCTTTCCTTCCTCCTCTTCATTAATTTTCTTTAAACTTCATTTTAGTTTCCTTACGCACGCGCTCCCTCGCAGTAAAAACATAGTTCCTCGCATCGTACCTTACTCTCGCTAAATTAATCTATCACTCGCTGTTTCTCTCCCCCTCTCTGTACTCTTCCCCACGTTCTCTCCCTCACTTTCTCCTACCAACCACACGCAATTTTCCGAAAAAAAAAAAGCACACGAAATTTTCTTCGTCTCCCTTCGCGTCCTTAGACTAATTAATCTATTCGCGTGCCCTCGCGATATCTGCTCTAATCGCGATCAGATATCGGAGAAGACACGGTTTCATAACGTCGCTTCATTTCTACTCTTCGAGCTCGCGCTTCTTCGCGCGTCGCATCTTTATAATAAATATACCCTAATTACGTTTCTAATAGTTTGAGGAATTATTATCCTCGATGAACATACTTTTAAGTGTTCGCAGCTTCCCTCACCTTTTCCTTCTCTTTCTCTCGTTCCCACTATCGTTCTTTCGAGGTGTTCATTTCTCACGCTCTCTTTCTCTCTCTCTCTCTCTCGCAAACAGACACTCTTTCATAATCGCAGTCACACGCGCACAGGTAATGTCCTCGTTGTGCTCACTCGCTCACAGCTATCCGCTAGTTTTCTTACATTTTTTTCCATGTTTTTCTTTATCACGACGATTCTCGAACTCGATAGTAATAATCGTAATAATTACATATAATCATATAATAATAATTAGTTTACCAGTGTGTTCTGTGTGTATCTGTATCTGTTTTCTTAATTTGTTTTTATTTTCTCCTCGGTTCACGCGTCGCCCGTCCAATCGGGGACGCCTCCGATCCTGTTCTTCCTCTGCAGCGTGATACGACCTTCCGCTCGGTTTTTGTTTTAGTATATTAAGACTTTTTTTTGCATTAATTACCGTTACTTTAATCGTTTATATAATAATTAATAGTTTTCAAGTGTTAACGTTAAATACTATTACTTAATTCTGCTTACACGTGTTCCTTAAAACTTACGCGTTTAAGTATCTGTACGCATGCTTATTATTCCGTTTCCCGTTTCTCGGTTTGCCTTGTTTTTCACTTTTTTTTTTTTTTATTCCCGTCAAACAATTCACTCTCGTGTATCTTTTTCTAATCTCGCTTTCCCTCTGCGTATATCCGTCCTTTCGTTTCCGTCCCGTTTACTCGTTCTCCGTGCTGTACGTCCCCGTTTGCACAAAACGTAATAACGGCGAGTCGATCGGCTTTCATTCGTTTCTCGTTTTCTCATCTTTAGCTTGACAGTCTCTTAATCCACGTTACGTGTAATTGGTACCTCGAACAGGATCGCGCGGTCTCTCTTGTTCGTGAAGGTTTCGTCGGCATAGGGAATCCCTTTCGTGGTTATCCAGTTTCGACGCCGTCGACGATTTCTCCCTCGCTCGACGCCTCGCAAAGGATCGTTCCCAAGCGGAGGTCCATGTTCGTCGAGCGAAACGGGGAGAAATTCGCGTCGCGCGGGTCTCTCGGCTCTTTGCTGATTTATGCTGTTCGTCCATCGTCTACGGAGTATCGAGCGCGTGTGTGTGTGTGTGTCCGCGATTCGTTCGCGTGATCCGTGTCGGCGGTTCGTCCTTCGCGTCGGGACCGTCGGTCGACGGAGAAACAAATCGAAAATCGCTTCGAAGATCAGATCAGCTGCTATCGCTCACGAGAATTAGGCTTCGTTCGACGTGTGCTCCTTTCCTCGGTTGAGACGCCTCGCTCTCATCGTTCCCGTTCTGGTTTCATCTTCCAATTTCCATTGTTGTCGGTTAGTTTCGGTTGACTCGAGAACGATCGAGGCGAGCCCCTGTCTGCGATGAGAAGGACGATTCGGGATTGTTTGATTCTATTTCATTTTTGCAAATGGATTTCGTCCCGGTATGTTTGTTGTTCAAACTGCTGGCATTGTATGTTCTATGTGCTGTTCACTGTATTCTCTTATTTTCAAGCGTGTAAAGATTCGACCGCGAATCGAAACTTCTTCGGTTTAGCTTTCAATTGTTACAACGAATTAACGCTATTGATTCTTAACTGTGATTCCGTTCCGTTTCAGAATTATAATATTACGTTCTATTGGCTGGCTGTTGTTGTTTGTCGCAATAATGGCAGAGTATCAGGGTGGTTCTTACTATTTTACGATCATTGATTATATGTAAGTAGATAATGCGGTTTATAGTTTGAAATCGGTAATTGTTGCTGAGGCTAATTATGCGTGTGGCAGTTAAATGCTTTTAATGGTTACGAGGAGGATGCTCCGTTTCTTTTGGGGAAAGACGTTGACGCGTAGCAACGTTATAAGTGTCGGGTGTTGTTTGAAAAATGTCGCGGCAGCGAGCTCAGTTTAATCCACGAATGCGTTTGCGAGTCAAATTTCAATGTGCAGTCGTTGATTTGGACGCTGTTAAAGGGTTACAAATGAATGGTAAAAAAATAATTGATCCCCTAGACCCAAAATTGTTGAAAACGTCGATCGATCGATCGATCGACTCGTTTTAGAATTCATCTCGCCTAACATTACCAAATATATTACTAGCCTTTTTCGTCCCTTTTAGCTAAATAATCAAAATATACTCTTTTTCCAAGAGCTTGAATTTCGAAGGATCCGTAAATGGGCGCAGAATATCGCCTCGCGCATTGGTAGATTAAATCTCCCTTAAGATTTCTCATTTAATTTCCTCCCCCGGCGAATGTCGCTGATTGGATGTGCGACTAGCGTAGGAACTGAGCCGCCGGACGGGCGCGCGAAGTCGCGCGAAGACGACGCGCGTAGATCGTAGATCGGGATCGTCGAGTCATCGAGGCTCGGCGCGACCGCAGGTACGTAATTATTATCGTTATCAAAAGATTTCCCTAAAACTTCAATACCCACCCTTCTCCCGTCATCCCTTCCCTTTGTCTTCCACGAACGTAAATCTTTTTCTTTTTTTCCCTTAGACCAAAAATCTTAGGCCAGCGCCGAAGGAGATGCTACGTTAATTTTAGGCCACCGTCTAGTCGCATCTTGAGAATTCGAAATTTTTCTACAATTTATATCCCCACGAGTACCGTCGTTTTTTAATATACACTTTTTCCATTGCGGAGCCTCAGTTATTCTCTGACTCGACTCGGTGATCGCCGATTCTCGATCCGGAAACGTCGTCGACGCCTGCCGTCGAATAATCGGCTCGTCCGGCTTTGTTTTTTATCTCATTGGATCAACGGTGTAGGCCGGGTCGCGGCAGTCTGAAACGTCTGAGCTCGAGACGATTCGCCGGGTTATCGTGAATCGAGTCTACGGTGTCGAGGCGGGTCTCTCGATAAAAGGAATGGAGCAGGGAGTGGGTGCGTACCGCGCTACTTGTCGGTGGTAACACGTGGTTAAACGAAAACGTATGTCGCCGCGGTAAACGGAAAACAAAATAAACGAATACAACTCAGGGTCCAATGTGTCGTTTTTATTCGTCGTAAATAATAAATAAAATAATAATCAATAAATCAATCGTTAAAATTAAAACATTAGTGACTTGTGACTAGGTTAAGACTCACCGCTTACAGAAAACGTGTGTATGTACCTAAATATGTGTACGTACGTGTCTTTCTCATTTCTTGTCTGCTCACCTCTTTCTCTCTCGCTCTCTCGCTCTCTCTCTGCCGTGTACACTTCTCTTTTTTTTTTGTAACTCATGCTTAATCATAATTATAATAGGCATAATAATGATGATGATAATAATAATAATGGTAATAAGAATAATGGTCGTCGTGATACAAATAACTAAATCCAATGATAACTAAAATGCAGGACACATGGGACAAGGGGACAAGGGGATATAAAAGATGCTTCTTCGTAAGGTAAAGGGAAATGGGTGGTGCGAAAAGGAATTGATATTCCGAAAACGCGAAACAGGGATGAAACAATGATTGAATCTAAAATCAAATCAATTGAAAATCACCATCAACCGTGATTCTATCAAAGTGACTCCATATAATATACACAACGCAACTAATAATAATAGTACTGATAATAATGTTAATAATAATCGCAATAGCAATAATAAAAATAAAAATAATAATAATAATAATAATAATAATAATAATGATCTTAATAATAATAGTGCACATAATAGCGAGAATAATAGTGACGGTGAGGAGATAATCAGAGTTAAGTTGTAAGGACTCGCTACCACCCGAGACGCGTACAACTATAGTAATTGCGTAGCTATGTGATAAATTATCTACAAAGTCGTACCGGAAAAAAAACGTTCCTACCAATTAGAACACATAAGCGTCGGCAATGTATAATTCAACTCTGCACTTGCCTGCGTGCGTATGTGACTTCCCGCGTGTGTGTGTATGTGTGTGGCCTGTACAATGTGCGAAGACGGGTGTCTAACGCCCCGTGAAGTGTCGAGTGAATGTATGTATGTATGTATGTACGTTTATATGTGTGTCTGTGGGCGTGTTCGTGTATGTAGGCGCGTGAGTGTCGTGTGCAATAGGTCGGGTACAAGTGGAATAAGGGAGGCGTAGGTGTCTAACCCTCTGTCACACATTCCTTACGCAAATTGAATCGCGCCAACATCCGTTTTTCGTTTCATAAGCCTAATACTAAATATATATATATGTATATATACATATAATTTTCTCCAATTATACATATATATATCTTAAATTTTTCTCATATATATTTATACATATGTATATATATATACGTTTTTAATATAATCTATTTTATATAGTTACACACCGGCGTACGATCGTTTTCTGTTACCATCATTTTTTTTTTTTTAGTTAGTCTCTTTTCACGAATACATATAATTATTAATTCCCCCCCTCCCGTCCCTCCCGTCCCAAAAAATGTTTACACGTGATAATTATTAGTTCTCTTCTCTTTTACGAATCGAATTCGACTTCGCGAGTCTAAAATACTATAATAACGCGTTTTTATTTAATAAGGAGACAATCGCCGGTGCTGGATTGTTTAAAATATTATTCGTGCGCGTTTTATTACGCGTTCGTTTGCCCCTCCCTGTTGTCGTCCCTGTTACTCGTACTCCTGTCACTGCGACTAGCCTAACCTCGTTTTTTTTTTTATCTCTTTTCATTAATATCCTATCAATTAATCGTTAATAAAAACATCTCTACGTAATTATTTTTTTTCGCGCGGTAATAGCGTTCACGATCCGTGTGCACCGTTTCTCAGATTTAAAACGCAACGCAGCTTGTGTTTTCACCATTGCGTATTCGTTCGCGATCGTTTCGTTTTGTTCTACCGTCGGCCGAACGGATTTCGGGCCGACGAGATACAACGGCAGAGAATTTGCTAAGCTAAGGAATCGTTGGATCCGCACGGCGATAACGGTTCCCGCTCGAATCGTAGCGACGAACACCGGTGAGAGTGTCCGCCGCGGGATGGGACTTCCGTTCGATCGAGCCGAACCGTATTCGCTGCGGTCTCTCGTGTGTGGTGAGATTAAAATTTCTGTACAACTTAGGAGAAAGGACTTTCGCATGCGGACCTCGCGACGCGGGTCATCCCGCGTACGCAGGTCGTTTCTAACTTCTGCTACAGAAACTAGAGTCGAGACAAAAAACGTTGAGTCTCGATACGAACCGCCATTCTAGGATTCACGTTAGATACAACAAATCAAATTCATTCATCGAGTTCTCCTTCTATCTATCTTCCATTATTTTTTGGAACCCTATGTTGTTGTAGCGATCGCGCGATAGGAACGAATACCACCGAGACGACGCTGGACGCCGGAGTCGCGTTCGATCGAGCCGCGAGGTTCAGTGCTCTAAACAGAACTCACGCGGCTTCACGAATGCCGAATGAAACTGGCCATCGTTATTTTCGTAACGGTCGGAACGACTCCAGACGAAGGGCGAGATGCCGTCCGTCCCGAATCGTTCCCGGAAGATCCACGAGAAGGATTCCTCTCCTGCCTCTCAACCGGAAGCTAGCGGAGGATCCGTCCAGCGGATCTCGCTCCCTGATCAGTCGATAGAGACGTTGTCTAGGTACAAGGACAAACATAATTTATCGGTAGAACCTCGTCTATGCTCGTTCGAACGAGAGCCGCGCCGGTGGTCGCCGCGGTTTCATCCGTCCATACGGAGAAACGAGTGTCTTAAAATTAGGCGATTAAATCGGTGAACCGTGTTTACGCAACAAATCGACAAAACAATTGCTCGACGCTCGAAGCTGTTTCCTGTATTCCTTGCCGTTCGTTGACCACGCTTTCGTCCTGGTTCTTCCTCGCTTCCTTCCTTCGAAGACCGTCGTCGTTTCGTTATCGGTGTCGCCCACGGCGAAGACCGGGTGGACAGTTCGTGGCCTCGCTAGTAACTCACAAGTCCCGGTCGAAAACGTTCCGACCCGGTAATTAAAAGGCACGAAGCGTGTATAACGGTTATCCACCCGTCTGTCGCGCGTGGACGGTTGCGTCTCGTGATTAGGTCACAGCCTGATCCTTCGTCGGCACTCCTCATCGTTTCTGGACTCGATGATCGATGCCTCCGTGTGTCGCGTGTTTCGTTCGCTCCTCTATTCCGAGCGCTGTGCTTTTCCCCTCGTCTAATCTCCCTAACTCTATCAAGTTTCATTCTCTCTCTCCCTCTCACGCTCGTTCTGCGATATGTTAGTTTAAGGATACCTGAACGCGCTTTACGCGAAGGACGTGTACCTCCTCGGCGGATGCGATCCTTCTTCCGCTGACCGTTCCTTCATTCGCTATCAGTGTTTCATCGTTTCTCTTTTGCCTTTCCCTCTTGTTTCTTCATGTTACCCGGGAGCCAACGAGCGCTGATGAGCCCACCACGAAGAGCCACGCGACCTCCTGACTTAACCGAGCTGCTGCTGAAACTCCTGGGTCTTGAAGTACTCCGGCACCGGGTCGTCCAGCCTCGAGATCACCTTGTAGATAGATTTCTTCCAGCTCTGCTCGGTGTCCTTGCCGCTTTGGATCGCTTTGAAGAACTCCCTCAGCGTCTGCTCGACGACGTACCTGAAGTTGTTCGGCACCTGAAAATTCCACACGATTCTCTTAATTTTCACCGTCAATTTTTTGTTATTACAAAATAGAATAATAATATGTGCAGATGTCGGATTCGACGTGTCAAAGAGTCAATCGACGCGGGGCGTACGGCAAGCAGGGAATCTCGAACGCGCGCTCAAACAGGTGCGAGGGGAGAAAAGGGAAAAGCGGTCCGGTAGAGAAAGATAATTTCTCGGCGCTCATTACGGTTCACCGAAGGAGCCGCGAATCCGAAGAATTAAAGCGATGTTACGTGCGCGCGGCCTGCATCGCTTAACGAGCGTGATGCGGGTGCGGCCCCGGGTGAGCGAGGTTGCCTGAGTCTCGCCGCTAAGAGTTTCCACTTATAATTAGTACGTTTGGTTTATTAACGAACACGAGTAATTAATTACGCGTCAAGCGGGCGGCGATTGTGGCCGCGGGCCGAGAAGAATGGAGCCTCCAGGTTTTACCGGAGACTCGTTAAATAATATTAAATAGCTGCTTTACGGCGTGTTTGCGCGCGGCGTCGTCGTGCCAACGCCGCCGCGAACACAATCAACAGTCGTTACGTCGCGGCGAAAGTAAATTGCACACCCACAATGCCAAAGTAGAGACGTACGAACGAGTGATTCGTCGGGCGACACCGGCGCGCGTGCACCAGGTCGGATAGGTCGTCCACGGCCGTGCACGTCGCGTTCGAATTCGTTTAAAAACCCGGTTCCGCGGCCAGATGAGAAAGCATGGGAGAGGTAACGCGACGCGGTCATGGCCGACCGCCGAATAATTGCACGGTCGCGCGCTATCTCCGCGCCCTGGAAACAATCCGTCGGGCGAACTCTGCAAGAGCTGGGCAATTTTGCCGGCCCCTATATCGAAATTTCGACTCTGACAGCTCGATTCCGGCAACGACATGTCACGAGTTTGATTGGCGAATCATGGAACGCGCAGGTGGTCGCTCGATGCGACTTCTTTGTTTTAACTGACCAAATTAAAAGCGTCAATCGTTAAGCTAAAGAATCATGTTTCGGGGACGTGATACGACTCTTCGTAGGCAATTAAATGTCTGTAGATAATAATCTTACCTCGATATTGTTATTCCTGTTGTAGTGGAGGTTGAGAACTCGACAGATTTCCGAATCACCGCAGATTCGTAGGTCATCGGCGTTCTTCACACCTTCAGTGACAGCTTGTCTCGCGTATTTCTCCATTTGGATGTAGTAAAACTCCCTGCACGAAAAAGAAACAGTAAATCAGACATCGATGAAATAATAGTTAAAATCATTTTCTGAGATAGCAGCAAATTTGCAAATTCTTTACGTAAGAACTTTTGTAGGTGAAACCAACAGACAAGCAGACGTAGAAAAATTGTCTATCAATCATCCGTATAAGGCAACCGACCGAAGATATCAGAAAATCCTCGACGCAAGGAGGAAAGGGCAAAAATAATTTTTTCCTTCGAAAACTGGCGGGTCGCCATACTCGAGGTTGATTCTCGCAGAACGGAGAATGCTAATGCACTACCGATAATTAATTAAGGGTCGATACTGAAAGTGGTCTGACGCAAGCGGCAGAAGGTGAAGCAGGAAGAAGGGGAGAGATTCGCAAAGAGGTGTGTACAGCTCCTCGTCGGCTGGCAAGCAACGCGGTTCAAAGAGACTATTAAGAACGTGTTACACTGTATCGTCCAAGAAGACCCCCGCGACACCCTCGCAGAGGTAACCGCCGACGTTTACAGACAAGCATGGGTGCGCGCGCGCGCGCGCGCACTTACAAACGTCACGGCGGTATCACGCGATACAGCGTACAGTTTTTTCTCTTTTTCTCTCCCGCGGCAAGAGAGAAAATCGAGCTGCCGACGAGGCGAAGTTTGCCGTTTATGTTCATTAATTAACGCAGTTAAACAAGTGCAAGTCACTAATTGGCGGGTAATTTGTATAGTAATAGTGACCCGGAGCCTTCGCGCGGAGGAACTGTGAAGGGGTTGGCTTCGCCTCGTTGGATCTCACCGAAAACGCAGGACGCGGGAAAGGAACGGTTACGACGCGTCGCGTCGCGGACACAGAGACGAATATACACTTTGAACAGGAACCCGCCGCGCGCCGCCTCTTTGTGCGACGTCTTTGCGCGCGCGCGGATCGCTTCAATGCCCGCTGCGGCTGCCACTGATTAAGGAATTAATTATTTTTTCAGCTGAACCGGCAACGCACTTAGTTTCCTACGTGACATTTTCGTCTTGCAACGAACAGGGTGTGAAATGAAACTGTCGCGCGTTCATAAGATGCGAGAATAAGGCTTTGAAATTTCCCATCGCGGTTTCTAAAGCGTTCGACGAAATACGTAATTTCTGTTTCTATCAGCGAGTCGAGGTCTCGTCTTTAAACGTATTAATTATGGTTAATTAATAACGCTAGCGTCAAGATGGTAAATGATACATCGGAGAATAGAGATTTAGATTCTTGCAAATGAATGAGAAAACGTGGAAAGAGATGGTGGGCAACGACTGTTTCTTGGCTCTTGAGCCGGCCTCCGCGTTCTTCGGTACCGCGAGCGAATAAGTCGAGCAGGAAAGCGTGAGGCTAACAAGTTGACGCGACAACCACGTGACGCGGGAAAGAAAGAAAGCGAACGTAGCTAAGAGAGCCGAGAGGGAACGGGTATAAGCGGAGGCTGCTGCTACTTGCCCGGATATTTTTCCATTATTTCCTCGATCTTTCTTTTCCGGGGTTCATATCCTCCTCGCCCTTAAACGCGCACACAGGGAAACGAGCCCCCGATGCTGGAAGTATCCTAGAGTAGCGAGCCGAGAATGGCAGTGAGAATGGCAGCCAGGTTGATCTTGCACTTTGGATCCCGAGGGGATGCAAAGAAGTACGGTTCAGCGAGAAAGCAACGAGTCGAGGTAGTGCTACCGCGGCTTGTATAACTCGAGATCCCTGAATGCTCGACAATGTGAGGCAACCGGTTCAAACCTCCGGTTCTTGGTCTTCGCTCGGTGCCGCTGGGAGCAATTTTTAAGATTGCTTCCGCCTGGCGTACTCGCCGCCCGTGAAACAGAAGATCGGCGAACGTTTTCCATACTCGTCGTCGTCGTCGTTTCCGCCGCAGCGAGTCCCAATCGTGCCGTAGGATATTCCGTTAAGCAACGTTTTCGTCCGTCTCTACCCTCACCTGCGTTCGAAGCCGATTCCTAAGATGCTTTCACCGTTCTTTACAATTGTTTGAAGTCGCTGCGTGGATATTCTACAATGATGTCTGATTTTTAATGCTTCGCCTAAGTATTGGTAATCCGTGTATTGACGCGGTTCTCGACTCGACGACGTTAACGACGTCGATAAGAGGGTAAATTTTAAGTAAACCTTGTTTATGGATAAGAATCGCGACTGAACGGGCTGATGATGCTTCAGATAACGAACAAGACCACGGGATCGAGGAGGATCAAGATCGCAGCGCGATGCACTCGTCGATCGAGCACGTTCGAACCGGCAGCGACGGAAGAAGACAATGGGATCTTCGGTGCGTCGCGTTGCGATCTACGGGTAGGCGACCCGAAGAAAGGGCGAGTGGCGGAGTCAGGTGGCGGAGACGGCGGCGCGGCGGCGCTGGCGAGAGTCTCTTCTCATTCGATCACTCCAGATTGGCTCTCTCGCCAATTAAGACAATTTCGCGTGCTCTTATTAGCAGTCAGTCAGAGAAGGTTGTGCACACGAGTGAGGAGAATTGAAAGAGGAGTGTGTCTCTGCAGAATCGTGTCCCGCGTACCCTTCTCCTCCCTCCAGCCAGCGGGTAGCATCGGGTAGTAGCGCGTTCGCGTTCACTTTCTCCCTTCGCGGCCGCTCTCCCTTTCGCACGCTCTCGCTTGGTGCACACACACACACACACACACACACGTTCGCGCCGAGACCGCCGCGCGGCCCGTCTCGCTCCTTCTCGCGGCTGATCTCTTCTCGCTCCTCGTCTCTCTATTTCAACGTCTCCTTGAACCGTCACCGGCACCCACCCATCGGGGCCGAGCTACCCCCGACTTCAGCCTCTCGGAGGTAACGTGTATGTGTCACCTGCGACTATAATCCTTACTCAACCACCCATCAACCGCATTCAAGCTCGTCGGATCGCCGAGTATAGGTTGGAATACGTACGGCAGGCAGCAGACTGGGCTAGGTCTGCGCTCGGCTCGGCATGGCGCGGCTCGGCTCGGTTATGTACCTACGTAATACCGCGTGGTAGATACCGTATATATATCCGCGAAGTGCCTAATTAAAACAGACACCCGGAGACAGAGAGAAAACGGGACCAGAGACGAGGCTGGTCGCATAATAGGGTGTAAGGGCGCGAGGGAGACGGCACTAGTTCCGTAGTCGGTTTGACAAAAAGCCCGAGTGCTAGAATTGCCACTCTTCGACCACCAAGTGCAGAGGAGAAGAGCAACGGTGAGCGAGAAGAAAGAAAAAAAGGAGCGAGTGGGAGGCGGAACCGAACGCGAGAAACGGAGAGAGAGAAAGAGTAGAGTGGCACACCGGGAGGAAGATAGTGAGAGTAAGGGCTAGAGGGTGAGACCGCGGAGTCATTCATTATAGTATTGTATAATTAGGATAATAATAAGCTCTTCAGGGGCTCGGGGTTTCTTGCGCCCCGTTGCAACGGGGCGACGTCAAGGGAGAGAGAGGAACCGAGACAGAGGAAAAGAGCGTGATCCTCCTGGAGGGTGCTGATTATTAGCATCTAATTACGAGCTGCCTTTGCCACCGAAAAAAAAGAGAGACAGAGATCGAGCCGATGGTCGGAATAGAGGCGAAACCGCGCGGGGTTGTCTTCGAGGAGGGAATAATTAGCTCTTGCCGCGAACGGAATTCGTTAGATCGCGTTTCTCGCGATCCTCAGCTTGGCGAGAGACATTCTTCGCGGAGAGGATCTCGCCAGCTCTGCTAGCATCCTTATTCCCCACGATTCGTTCGTTTCTATCTAAGGGTTCGTTTCAACGACGCGTAATTTACCGGATTTAAACGCGATTTATCTGACGTTCACACGTTGTGTTTTAAGTATCCTTTGTTCCTTAACGTTAATTTCAATATCTCTTTTCATGGTCATCCACACATTTGCTCGTTTAATCGCGTTACTTTAAATGAGACGTGGACTCTTCCCATCGCAACCGATTCTTTCGCTCGTGCGTTCGATGCACAAAGGTAACGGGGTGTTGCGCAGCAGCCGTAAATTCGTCAATTCCTTTTTCGTTACAGCGGCGCGTATTGTGATCCAGGTGTAGCGACAATGCCAGCTTTAGAGGCGCCGCGTATTGAGGCGTTTAATGGCAATGATGGTCGTCGACATGAAATCTCCTTCATACGTGATCTTCATCGTCACGGGTTGCTGTTTCGACGCGTCGCTTTTGTAACGGGTCGTAACGCCGTATAGGCGAGAGCACCAATTAAAAGGGGGAACACCGGCACTCGGCTGTTTTTCTTCTTCTTCTTTTTTTTTTTTTTTTTTAATTTCGCGCCACTTTGTGGTTCCACTCCGCAGCTTATTCACGAAAAAACGCGTTCCCTTCGAACACCGATCGCCAATTTTTACCCAGCCATGGCCAGAATATTTCCCCCGAGTCAAAGACGCTCCGCCCTGTTCAAAGTTCCACGTCTTATGTCAACATGACTTCCTTACCAACGCTCTATTTGCATTATGATTCTGGTAATAGGGCCGAGGAAAATCTGGCACGCGTTTTCAGATTGCCAAACGAGTGACTCTGGGGCGTAACGACGTCTCCGCGTCTTCTCGCCTTACATTCTTCCCCAGGTCTCCGCCACTATTCAAAAAGATCCTCAATCGTGCTTCTTAAGCCAACCAGCCGGCCCCCTTTTAACGGTTATGCCAAGTCGGCCGACCTTCGACAATGCTGAACACCTCGGCTCCCCAAGACCCGGCGCTGACCCTTAAAGTCTCTCGCTCAACCCCTCGCCTGATGCGGCTTTCTTGCCCGAAACTTTCCCACGAGCGACTCTCTCTTCTTCACGAAGGGGAGAAGACGTTTAAGGAGCGGTCGACAATCCGCCAAGATTCGCAAAGTGTCGGCTGCGGGCTCGATCATCTTGAAATCTTTTTGTCCCCTCGTGAAACAGCTGTTCCCAGCGAGAAGACTTTAGCATCCTTTAAATCTATGCCCCTAAGCGTTGAGTCCGAAGTTTATGCGATCGATTTGGTACTACACCGAATTTCTGGATCTGATGGAATTAGTA